CATAGTTAATTGAGTGGAATGGTTATGAAACCCGTCAGACTCCTTTGTTATATGTTTTTGTGGACCTGAAAGTGCACAACGTTCAAAAGAATTCCTATCATTTTGATTGTATTGACCAATAAAAACGTTGCATTAATTTATTCCGTAACAATTTGCCAACAGAAAACAAAGGATTGTGCACTTTCAGGGTGCTTCCAACATAAACTGCAGCACTGTTGTTTTTATCATTGATGTTTGCCGCTTTTCATGACCAGTCTCCTCTAATGACTATGTCCAAACTATGTAATTTTTATCTCTCACCCCGCTTTCCTCCTTAATTTCCTATTCCCCTCAATGGTAGGGGTATAATATTTGCTGAAAATAGACCTTAGAAAAAGGAATTGTCAAATTGACAAATGCAGGATCGATAAACTCTTGGAGTTGTGAAATAATTACTGCGTAGGCAAGACTAATACGATTTATGAACGCTAAAAATTTCATGCCAGAGCACAAGAACCCACAGAAACAATTGACACCTATGCATCTGCACTTCGCACACTGGCTACCGTGTGCCTTTGGATCCCTAATGGAAGAAATGATTAGCGAACGACTCGCATGTGGTATTTCAGACAACGCAGAACCGAGATTGGAGAAATGCATGAACTATTTTAGACCAGCTGAAGTTGCAAACATCCAGCTGAAATAGATCTCCAGCCACGGCGCAGAAGCAGTACATCATCTAAACGACTCCAAAATAGGGAGGGAACTGAGAGAGTGCAAATACTGTAGCAGAAAACATGAAAGAGGAATGGAGAAATGCCCAGCATATGCATGGCAAGACCTGTACGAAGTGTTCCAAGCAAAACCACTTCAGTTCTGTCTGCCTACAAACCGTTTCACTTACGACACCAAGAAAAGTACAGCCCCAGAGAGACTTGCAGAAAAGCAAGCCTAAGGTACATGCGGTACACAAAGATTTGCAACCCTCATCTGAGGATGAACGGTGGGTCCTGTCATTCGCTGAACAGGTCAATGCTATCAGCAGCAACAAGGGCAGAATTTATGCAGCCATGGAAATCGGGAACAAAACTTTTGAAATGCAGATGGACACTGGAGTATCCTGCAATGTCCTGTCCCGCAGCTACTTGCCTGCTGATGCTGAAATCCTGAAAACTACAGCGGAGATAGTCCTATCAGAGTATACTGACGTATTCAGGATCCTGCCGTGGGCAAGATGGGAGGCAGTTAAGCTGCACTTGGAAGTCGACGATGAAGTGTCACCCGTTGTAATGCCTCCCTTGCGTGTTCCCGTAGCAGTTAAGGTAGAATTGAAGGAAGAACTTAATCCCCTTGAGAGCCTGGAAGAAATCAGAAGAGGGGATGAGCTTACAGAATAGGTGGCTAGCATGGTTACGACTCAGAAGCTAGATGGAAAGGTTAGGTTTTGCATCGACCAACAGCACCTACATCAAGCATTGAAGTGTCGACACCACCCACTACCTGTGGTGGAGGATATTTTGCCAGAGCTATCCAAAGGGAGAGTGTTGAAAAAGACGATCTGAAGAATGGATTTCTTCAGACACAACTCGACGAAGAGCCCAGCAAGCTCACGACATTTCAGACCCCTATTTGGTATTCCAACACGAGCTCGACCAATGCCTTGAGAGACTTAAGGGGGTGTATATAGCCAAAGGGATACTGATGAAAAGGCTGACCTTGACCATGATCAAAACCTAAAGAACCTTTTAGAGCGTTGTAGAACAAGAAATATCAAGCTGAACACGGAGAAGTTCCAGTTCAAAAGAATTTACCACCGGAAATAGCTTTCTATTTGAGAGATAATTCTTCATCCAGGCGTAGAGTTGGCCGTCAGTGCCAAACTGCCTGTGTAATTGGACAAATTCTTTTTGTTTTAAATGATTTATTGATTATTATTTTCGTTTTCATCGAGACTCGACGGGCTAACTTCAAATTGATTAATGCTGTAATTAACTTTACCATGCTTTTCTTTCTTTTCGGCGTCTCAAATCACCCCTATCCAAGGTCGTTTGAGATCTGGCAACTTCTGCATACCGTATAAACTCGAGGGAAGAGGAGAACAGCACGGCCTAGCTGTTAATTGATAGAGGCCTTTTGAGACGCATTTTTGCCAGTTTCAGTCTATTTTTCATGCAACTAGTCCTATTTGTGTGATAATCAGGCACAAAAAAAAAACAAAAAAAAAACACGATCTTTAAACTTCTAAATTATCGTCTTCTTTCTACTTTAACACTATACAATTGTCTACCTTCAAATCTATTTTTTTTAAGAAAAGCGAATGATAGTCACACGCTCAGCAGAGGGATAAAGAACTACGGGAAGAGACCGATTAAAACGCTGCATAATTGAACGGAGTGGATATTACCATTCGAATAAGTCAGATGGGTATCATCAGCAAACATTCTTGGCACAGAGTGAGACAGACAATTGCGAAAATCATTGATATATAGTTAAAACAGTAAAGGCCCTAATATTGTTGCCTACGGAATACCACACTTGGGCGTGCAACATTCTGAAAGGGAACCATTGAAAACGCATTTCTGAGTACGATTGTCTAAATAGGAGGAGAACAATTTATGGGAAACACCTGTTAGACCATAGGGATGTAATTTAGACAATAGAGTGTGGTGGTCGACTGTGTCAAACGCTTTCTTAAGGTCAAGGTAAACAACAGCGTTAAAATTACCTATATCAATATTAGAGGCCCAACTATCGGTTGCGTCTAATAAGGCTGTAACTGTTGAATGAAGCGTGCGAAACCCAGATTGGTGCTTAGACAAAATACTATGATCCGATTAATAAGCAAAGAGTTGATAATAGATAATTCTTTCAAATACTTTTCCAATTATAGAGATAACTGAAATTGGACGATAATTGTCTATATCGCTTCTTTCGCCATGCTTAAATAGAGGAGTAACCCTCGCAAAGGTCACATGGAAGGGTATTAAGCAGCTTATTAGCTCTAAGCGTAGTAAATTGTCCTTCCCAAATAGATTAACAGTAGATGGTAACACCTTAACCGATGCCAAAGGTATAGCTCATGCCTTCAACAAATATTTTGCCTCAGTTGGGCCAATGTTGGCCAATGGTATTCAACATGGTAATAGAACCTTTGTGGAATATTTAACAAATTCACAATGCAAAAGTTTTTATTCATCACTAGTATCAGCGACAAAAGTTGAGAATGTTATTTCTAGCTTAAATACAAGTAAATCACTGGGGCCCCATAGCATTTTAGTGAAAATTCTTTAATTATTGAAGAGCATCTTGTGTTATCTATTATCTTATTTATATAATTGTTCTTTTTCTTTAGGCTTAGTGCCAGATAAGTTAAAAATCGGGAGAGTGATACCCCTATACAAAAGAGGTAACCAGGCTTTAGTATCCAATTATAGACCAATTACTTTGTTATCTGTTTTTTATAACATAATGGAGAAGCTCATGTTCAATAGATTAGTTTATTTTCTTGATAAACATAATGTATTCGTAGTGGACGCTCCACTACTCAGGCTTCTATGCTTAGCACTGATAAGAGCCGCTGAAAACAAAATATACTCCTGCGGGATATTTTTGGACTTACAAGCCAGTCTCTGCAAGATCCTCATATCGAGTTTTGCCTACAAAATAGATTTCGCTCGTAATTTTGCTGTAGACTTCTTTCATTAAGTATATAACAAATATGAAACTAGATTGGAGAAATTCGCTTCTGTAAATTTTTTTTTAACCAATTTTCTTTCGGCACCACATAAGGGCCTGAAATGCTTGAAAATATGCAAATCTTGTCAAAATTCAACCGATTGCTCCGGATAAAGGAATGCGTCCCAAAGGTTCCAGTTTACTAATTATTTTAATTAAACCTTTATCTTAAAAATAATACAGGTCAGAATCATCGACACCTTTTTGTATAGAAAATCCGAGGAAACACACTTAGCCCCTTTGACCCATTTAGCGAAACATGCGACTTTAGCCAAATTCAGTGGATTAAATCTCAAAAGTGGCTCACAATTACAGACTCTCCTGCATACCATTGTGTAGTTCCATCCTTCAGCTACTGAATCGCGTTAAACGTTTTGGCGGCCATTCAGTTTCGGTCGAGGGGTGAGTGGCGAAAGCTGCCTTACTTGGCCATTTCGCCGGCGATTCGCCATCGCAAAGTCCAGAAGGATTGTCAGAATAAAAAGCGAGAAATCGGGTATATGCCACTCGAAGATTGTCCATTCCTAAAGACTGCATACTTTCAATCACTGTTTTCCATGTGGGTATGGTTTTAACCCAACGAAGAAGGGGTAGAAGAGGTTGGAACGTGATCGTTTTTGACAGCATTTCGCCAACAGTAAAAATAAAACAAAAATTTTAGGGCTAGAATTCAAAGCTCTATCACATAATAGCGGAGCTCCTTGCGCGCGCGAAGCGTGCGCGAGCGGAGCACCATAACTAAGATGATTTGGTAAACTATCCATCCGAGAAAATTGGGTTATGACGTCAGCGTACGTCCGTTCGTACGGACTTTCCGGGTAGTGGAAAGTAGTCCGCATGGACTCTTGGGCTAGGGGAAAGTAGAGATTTTTTGGCGGGAAATCGCATGGCGCAACGTCGCGCAATTATATCGCGCAACATCTCGCGCAACTGGTTTTGAAAAAAGAAATTTCAAAGCAACTTAGCAAAAAGATTTTTCGACAGAGCCTTTGTAACTTTTTATTACAACTTGCGAAAGCTATTATGTCAACAAACAACAGCAGAGAGATTTTAGAGTGTAGACGACAGGTTTTAAGCAGAGAGCAACGAGAAGGTGAACGGCAGAGAGCAAGAGTTAACAAGCGTAGAGCAAGCTAAGACGATCGCCAAAGAGAGCGCGTTAGAAGTAGAGGAAGAAGACAAAATTTTAGCGAAGAAAGTCGGCAAGTAGAAATAGTCAGGGCGAGAGGAAAGAGAGAAAATTATAGTGAAAAACGACGGCAAGCAGAACGAGACAGAGCTAGAATGAATAGACAAAGGCAACGCGAAAGAGAAATACAAAGGCAAAGAGAACGGCAGCAAAATAATGACATGATGACAGAAAGTGTTGTGTTAATGTCACTATGGCCATGCGCTATTAACATTTTGATTTCAAACTGATCTCGGACGTGAAAATTCAGCCAGTCATTTAAAATACAAGCAGGGAAGACAGAGGCTTGTCACTTTTCTCTCCATAGTCACGTGTTGATCACGCTCTACGACCGTCCAATTTTTATGCTCTGATTGGTTAAAATTTGACAGGTGAGTTAATGCAAAAAATTTATACAGCATCTTGAAACTTGTTTACTTTGACAGCTGAAGCTGACAGAGTTTCCTGTCAACTTGTGATGTTTTTTACTGTCTTTTTCCACTAGATGCATAAAATGTAATACAGCTGCTATTAACATGTTATTCATGGCTGGTTTGTTTATTGAATTTTTGGTTGAGAAATGCGCCGCTTGTCAAAGTTGGAAATCCGATTTCGGATGACATCGTTTTCGTTTATCACCTTGCTGGATGCGGGTCGAAAAGTCCCTCAAGCGATTCTGGCCTTACTTGATACCTTTCAGGAGCTGCATCTCGAATGGTAAGCCTGAGTAATTATTGTATACAGTATATGTGTTTGTTTTTTATATCTAATTTCATGAAGTCGAGCGCAGTTTATGAGGCTAGTTTGTGCACGTTTGTATTAAGATCTGAGACAATGATCTGATCTAGTATGAGGTTTGATAGAAGCTTACGGAGCTTTAGGAAGCCTTTAGTCGATATTTTCTCTCCGCAAATAGAAAGAAAAAACGTTCTGAAGAGTATTTAGTTATAATTTTGGCTGTAGAAAGGAAGCTTTGAGCGATTTTCTTGCCTCGAGTTCATCTTGAAAACAGAAAGCAGAGACGCTTTCATACTTGTCTTTGTGAATGAAAATTGTTGTTTCTGTAAATGTTTCACCGAATTACACTTCTTTTATTGATTGTTAGTAGTCTCTTGTAATTTTAATCGCTTTGCCGTTTGTTTTCAATCGTTCATAAACATCGCATGCAGGAGTACTCAAAATGCCGCGCGTATCAAACGCTTTTTTAAGATTACACATCGTTATAAAACCATTAAATAAAAAAAATAAACATAATAAATTCTTTGTTATGTTGAAACGTAACTCTTTTAATGTTCACTAAAAATTTGGCACTTGTCAAAAGTGAGAACCGGCTGGCCGTATAGGTGATTTTGGAAATTTTTTGAACAGTTTTGCTAAAAGCCGACGCGTGCTTCGTACGGTTCTGAATATTGAATGGGAGCAATTTGTCTTGAAAAACTGTGAAATACTGCATTTTGTCTGAGGTCTATATGATAAAAACAGCGCCTCAGATTACTGTTTCACTTCAGATGTGATGTATAAAAAGTATGAAAATATGTTGTTTTACACGCACCCAGAGTTGTTGGCAAGATCTTGTTAAGTAAACTTGTCGAACGCAAAAAATTCGGCCTGATTTATTTCCCAAGAATTTGTTTTCCAGGCCTAAGCTGCAGTGATCAAGAGCCATTATGGCTCTCAAATGTGATCGAAGATGATTGCTATTTTTTGGGTGTATATATACGGCTGTCAATTCGATGTAAGATTTTTTTTTTTCACTCTAAAATCACTTAGCCTTAGCTTTCCCTAAAAAGTCACATATGTGCCCTTAAGTTAACTGATTTGTGGATTACAAGTTTATTGTTTGATTTAAGTTATAAATTTATTAATGGAAGCTTCGCTTTTAGCCCTGGCTAAATCTATATATTAAAGTTCATCTTTATTCTTGCTTCGGAAGGGTAACTTTGCTATTTAATGCAGTAGCTCTTGTTTCGATTGTAGAAATAGCATGTTCAGAAGGTGGTTGGACAAACAGTTCATGTAATTGGATTCGGAGACGCCATAAAAGTTTTTATGGTGCTTTCTATTCAAGTGTAGCATTCAAAATTTACTCATTTTTCTCGTAACTTTGCTTCTAAAATCTTTGATAGTCCCGATCATATCAATTCTGACACCCCTGAGTTAATTATGCGTTGGATATATCATTCGTTGTTGCTTTTAAAGCTCTAATTGACTCACCCTCTTGAATTACGCGATTTTTGTTTAATGCCACATTTTTTTTTCTTAGTATAATATAAGTGTTTAAATCATGTCTCCAAAAACAAAATAAAGTAGTGGAAATTATATCCGTTCCACGAACCCAATTTCAAAGGTAACTTAGAGTTATTTTAAATCCCAGAAGTAAATAAGACGTTTACATTAACCTCTGCGGAGATGACCACGCGTTTTCCCTTTATCTCCGCTTTTATGTGTTAGAGCTTCCCGTAATAAACATCTTCATTAGCTGAAAAATTCCGGTGGTGCAATTATATAAATGAATGTTGTTTTGTTGAGGTAATGCTGCCGTGGCAAGGGGAAAACGAAGAGCACACTATTCGAATTTTTATTCAAGGTAATTTTAAATTATTTCAACATCCCTTCCAATTCCGTAACAAAACAACTAGGTCGATGCGCCGTTCGCATTTGCAAAAGTGCAGAGGGATCAGTATCTCTGATCTAACACACTAGAATAAATTATTTCGTGAATTGAAATTGTTCTATTCAAAGCTTAAAGTAGTCGGTCAAACACTCATGAAAACAAAGATTGATTTCATATTGAATGGTTTTTGCGAGTTTTTTCTTTTTTGGGGGGCGGGGGAAGGAGATAGCAAGAAGACAAGTTTCAGAGATTGTCAACCAGCATTTTGCTAGTATACTATAATGCTCGCTCTATGCGACTCTATATATGGTGTTTCTGTCTCCGTCGTCAAAAGCTT